TTCTAAGATTTTCTGTCATCTACTAATCATAGACTCATAGGATGGTTTGGGTTGGAAGGTACCTATAAAGGTGATCTAGTCCAGCCCCCCTGCCATGGGCAGGGACATCTCCCCCTAGATCAGGTTGCTCAAAGACCAATCTAACCTGACCTTAAAATAATATATATCTGTCTGCTTTAGCGTTTTTTAATACACCTATCATCATGGTATATTTGTTTCCCTTCTACATCCTCATCCCCATAGAACACACTTTTTTGCCCATGGTAGGGATTTTTGTTGCTCTTTAAGTGGGTAGATGTGAAGATTAGAAGGAATTCAGGAGAAAAAGAAGCATTTCAGTGGAGCATTTCAGCATTTCAGCCTCCTGGGAGGTTGCTGTTTATTGAAAAGCTTTTACTGAGAGGAAGATTTTGAAGCATTTTTTAATTCTGGTCAGACTCTGGATTCACAATATTTCTTCTGAAGCTACTTGTGCAGACAAATGTCCTCAACAAGATTGATTTGTTCTCACCTCTTTTAAAGTGCATTCTGCATAGTCTCAGAGCTGCAGAACTGCCATTGTGTTTCATAAGATGAGTTTGATATTGCTGGGGCATGAGATACTTAACTGCCTTGCGTATTCTAACAGGTGTTGGAAGTGCACAGGGAATGAACGGTCTTAAAGCAGAGATTCCATGCATTTGTCTGCCTAAAACTGGATGGGGATCTTGTACTAGCTAGAGCCTAGATGCTGTCTTTCTGCATACGTACATGTGATTTGCAACAGCGTGGAGTGAAAGCCAATAACATAACCGGGAGGACAAGCGCGGAAGAAAGCAAAGATACATCCCAAGATGTTAGAAATGAAAGAATGCATTGCTTAGAAACCAAGACTGGATGTCAGAGTGTAGGAAGGCAATCGCCTCTAGTGTGGGAAGTGCCCTTCAGTGCATTTGGACAGCACATTTGGCATTGGGCGTGCTAACATAGATTGGCAGTAGTTGCTACTACTGTCTGTAACTTAGTAAATGAGAAGACTAACACAGGATTCCTCATGCTTTCCGTTAGTTTCCTCAGTTGCTATTTTTCAAGGCAGCCTTTGCAAGGAAACTGGCTAACGGTGCACTGCTTCTCAGCTCAGAGATCTCTCTTTTCTAGGCCACCCATGTTAGAAGAGGACTCTGGACCCTGAAGTCTGGATCTAGAATGGGGAGCTTGTAAAGATAGCAATTTGCCCCCCTCTGATTCAATATGTGTGCATATTTGTATAGTTGCTGCAAAGGACTCAAGACATCCCTGTGGACTTAGCAAACTAGTTTAAGTTGCAACTATTATGTACCTAGAAATAGCTCAAGCACAGCTTGGAACACAGCTTATTTCCCCAAAGATGTGTGTGCAGGAGGGTGGATAGAGACAGCGCATGCCCAGGATACCTCAGCTAATGCTAACCCTTCCTGAATATTGCCATGGGATTTTTAAATGCTTCTCAACTCAGAGACATGCTCAAAGATTTGACCTCAGTTTAGCATCTCATCCAAAAAGGAGTAAGTCGTTCTGACAGTGCAGGTCTCCCTGAGTGCTGTGTGGAAAATTCAGACTTGGACATGAGCCCAGCCATAGTGTTGCACTTTTAGGGCCTAGAATCATTTCAGATGAGCCATGCTCTGACAGATAGGGACTGCAGGAACTGAAGTAAGTGCCAAGGAAATTATTCCTAAAATTGCTGGTGAGGAAAACGGAAGGAGGAACAGTTTCAATTATTTGCTGCTACCAAGATATGTGAGACTTGTTTGGGGAACAAAGGAATGCTTCATTTCTTAATCTGGTCACTCTGACATGTCCCAAGAGCTTTAAATTGGAAGGAAAAGAATAAGAGGCTTGCTCTATGAATAGCTCATATATCAGAGTGTGGGACAATGCGATCAGCTTTAGGTACTTTGACGTTATTATTATTCATCATATCTGCCTGAAGGCCTCAATCAACACTCCAGTCTTGTGGTGCTGTGCCAACAAGTGCAAACACAGCTCCTGCCCTTGAGCGTTCACAGCCCGGGATTACGAGGGGATGACAAGGGGTGGGCTCAGCGAGAGGTGTGAGGCAGCGAGATATTGGTATAACGAGGACATTTGCATACCATCAGCAGTCACAGCCAGCTTCCTCCCCAGGCTCTGCCAGGCAGCAGTGCTTTGTAGGATTCGTGGCAGAGGTAAAGCTTAAAAGAGGATTTGATGGAAGACAAGGTGGTACCTTGTGGGGAGATTTTTACCATGATTTAGAGGGCAGGCTGTGAGAAGGCATAAAAGTGTCTGCAGGAGAAGTGACAGAATCTGTTATCTTTAGTGAGGGAAGAAAGTTTTCTGCTGTGACAGAGTATTAGATTTAAGAGCCAAGGAAAGACCAAGCAGTGAAGAGGCTTAGAGGTAAAGGCTTGAGCTTTTCTCCCAATCCCACAGAAATATTTATAGTATCAAAACATGCGCTATCAAGATGAAAAAATGAAATCTCAGAAACAGTGCTTTGATGCTTTTTAGCTGGGGGGGATCTCAAAAAAAAAAAAAAAAAAAAAAAAAAAATCCATTGTGTTTGACTTCATTATACAAAGAAACTATAAATTCTCTCTGCTTACCTCATGAATGATCCCACCGGGCAGCTGGGGAGTCAGGACGTTCCAGCTTTCACTTAAGTGTTGCTTTTCGTGCTCAGCCCAAGGTGCTGCATGACCCCCACTGCAACTTTGGGCGCGCCAGTGAAATTGCTACTGAGGGCTGTTTTGCAAGTGCTGTGTAGTCTCAGCTCTGGTCTGTACTTCCAGTTTTGGGGTGCCCTAGGGCTAGCATCTGTACCACCTACATTTCATATATGGGGGAAATAAAAGTAGGAAAGATTTTATTGTGGTTGTAATGTTCTGGTGGGGATGTGCCGCAATACCATTAAGATAAGAATTGCTCCTGCTCTGCAGTTCCATGAACTAAGCGTGAAGTGAGTTACCATTCTGTTAAGCTTAGGTTTAAAAAGGAAATACTTTTCAAGCAAAAAGCCAGAAATTATCAATTTGAAAATTGTCAAAATAATTTTTTTCAAAACATTTCCCAAATGAAAATATCATCCTGTGTGGATAGTCTCCTTGGTGAACTGATATTTTCTGGTTGAGAAAATATTAGCCTCAGTGAAGAGAAAAGCTGGTGCTTAACACAGTACAGAGTGGGGAGAAGTGAATAAAGAGGAAATGTGGTTAAAACATTAATAAGTTCTACTTGTTCCTTGCTGGACAAGTAGATTTAGGACAAGGCTAAAGAGGGGAGGTCACAGTAGCTGGTACGAGGTGCTTAGAGCAAGGATTTGGCAGCTGAGAATGGCAGAAACCGATTTTTAAAATTGTATTTAATGGAGTCAGAAGCCCATTGCATGGGTCTAGAAGAATGAATCAGTGATAACACCCAAGCTACCAGGGCTGGCTGCTTGGTGTTACTGCTGCGATAGAAAAAGGACAGGATTCGGGAGAACAGGGTAAGATTTACTGGGAATGATCAAGAGCACAGGTTAAGAAAAGGCATATATATATATATATGTTTGTGTGTATATATATGTGAATATCTATGTTATTTATCAGGAAGAGAAGCCAAGGTGTGAGATTAGGTGGCTGAGAATGATCATGAATAAAGTTCTGCATTTGTACTTCGTGTATAGGCAGATACTTAATCAGACCAAATCCTGTATGGTTATCTCTGCAAGAACAATGCTAAATCTTGTTTGCACAAAAGAAGAGTTTCTAAAAATTATTTTCCCCTTTTTTCTGTTTTTGTGATATATAAGGATGGCAGTACTATTATTAATCCCCTCTTGACTCTGCTCATGGATGCTGTAACTTCATGTAGTTACACATGGAACAACCTAAAATTTTATCATCTTACTTAAAAAATTAAATTAATGGCGGCAAACCATTCCCCTAGGGCTGCCAGGTTTTAGAGCATGTTGAAAAGAAAAAGGTTAGTAGCAATTTAGTCATAATTCTGGGGTGTAAAAAAAAAAGGTTGTGTGCCTAACCTTCCTGGACACTGAGTGCCCCCAACTTTCTCCGTGAAAGCATTTAAGATTGAGCCCCTATTGAACCAGCTAAAAGCAAACACAGAGCACGTTCCCTTTGAAGTTCTGTGCACACTTCTCAGTGCTGCACCTGCCCTCAGCTGTGCTCATTCTCTCTGCAACAAGAACTGGTAGAGTCTAATTTGTGATGGGAAATGTATTTGGAGGGGGAGATGCGACCCCTGAACTTAGCTTTGCTCTGACAAAAGCACTTTTATCATCTGTGCTCCACCACTGTATGGCATTCAACACGAATGCCATCAGTGTTGTTCTGGAGAACAGCTCGTGTGGCATTGAAAAGGGGAACATAGGTGCAGGCTGGAAAAGGGACGTGAAGTTTACTCTGAGTTCAGACTCAAGTTTCCCCTCACAGTTTATGTGCCTGCACTCCTACAGCTGTTCCTGGCAGCTCTGAGACTGGGATCATAGAAATGCCCAGGAAAGCAGGCATGGGTGGTTACGACCCCTGTAACTCTGTTCAAATGGCAGACTGTGGACTGAACAATTCCTGGGCTTCACCTAAGTCTCAGCTGGGATGTGCCCTGCTGTTCCTGAGTGCAATCCCATAGCTTTTCCTGCTTTCGCATAAAGTAGGTGTAATTTGTCATTGTTACTTTCAGGCACTAGGAAGCAAGTTGCTTGCATCAGGCACCACATCCAGCTGAGCAGACTTCGGGAAAAACGTTCAGCAGACTTCAAGAGAGATGCATTAAATGGCCCAGCTTTAAAAACTGTAGCCAAAGCAGGTAAGTCACTGCTGGAACTCGCATGTCAAAGCAGAAACATCCTTCCCCAGACCTGGGAGACACAGCCTGTTCCTCTTTAAATCTGTGCTGTGCGCTGCAGTGCTCTGCATTGTTGCCATGGCAGAAATCTCCCCATAGTAATAACCTCTTTCAGAGAAGGTTAAAAAGAGACAGTGCACATGCTCAGAAATGCTGCACTTGTTCTGTTAGCAGTTTGCAGCGGCCATTTCAAAGAGACCATCACAAAGACAAGAGGGAGATCAGGTACTGATATTTTTTTCCTTTGTTAGAGGGGGTGACTTTTCTCTTTCACAGAAGTCTATGTACAGATCTGTCTCCATTCCCAGTTGCACTGCAGAGAGAGGCCACCCTTGAAGCCCGTCATGATTGTTCCTCGCAGATAGCAAATTCCCACAGAATAACTAAGAGGCAGTAGTTAGATGTGGCCTAAGGCAATTGCTGCATTCGGGGAGCAATTATTTTGCAGCAGGGCTCACATACAAAGCTGAGCTGACGCTGGGGTGGGTGATGTGTAAGGTACCCTGAAAAAGTTTAACAGCATATCTGCTTTGTTTTGTTGAACCTTTCTAGCCCTCTTAGTCAACTATGAGAATTGCCTCTGCTCCTACTGACCAGGAGGCTTCTGCATTAGGTACTTTCAAAGGAGGCTGGTATTATCCAAATTTACAGTTACTTGGAGACACTCTGCTGCATCCTGTTGCAAAGTCTGGTGTCTTTGATTCTACTTGCTTTGATTGCAGATCACCATTAATTAAAATAGAAAATCCAAACTGCTTGTTATGATTTTAATCCCTTTATTTTAAGGATTGTAGAAATAAGAAAAAGGATCACATCAGATCACTTCTAAATAGTGGGAGGGATAGAAAACCCCATTCTGAGGTTATAGGAATTACATTACCAGATCTATTTTTTGGTGTGGGCCCAAATATGTCTGTCACTGTACATGTACATGTGTGTCTCTTGCTTCTGAACCATCCCCTACTCTTATGTTTAGGTTGAGATGCACAGGAAGGGGATGTATATAATGAATGAATTGCTGAATGAATTCATGAATGAATTGCTGGTTTGCACGTGCTGCAAGTGTTTGTGCAGAATTTGCAGCTTCAGATTTCAGTGTCTGAAATGGTGGACTGCATATATGGAAGAGTAAGCTTGTTCCGTTCTGTGTTTGTGGCAAGGTGGGGAAAAACCTTTCCTTTACTGCCTCCCTCTATTGCCCTTCCAAATGTGAAATACAAGCTGTTTTGGGGAGTGCTGTACTCTTGCATTCAGCACATGCAGATTTGATGTTCTTAGGCAACATCTTTTGCTTAGTATGCAACAACTTAAAAATCAGGAAGGGACAGAATGTTGTCCTGCTTTCCTGGGTTCAGCTAAAGAGAATTTTCATGTGGATTTTATTGTGCTGCTACAACTTAACCCTATTTGATTCTTTCTTTCTTCCATTTGAACATACAGGAATGGAAGGTAAACTTTGCTGAGCTAAAGATCACCCTAGCATTTTGCCAGGATCCTTGAGGCTTGGATTGAAATCTCTAATAGACAGTTGCAGCTTGAGCCAGTCCATTTCCCATGTTTCCTCTTGATCCGAACAGTTTACATGTTGGGCCAAGAAAACGCTTCATTTGAAAGCTGTGTACTTATAAAAAAATTTACCTCTGTGTGAAGGGGAGGTGTTGTTGGACCAAATTGTACCTATCTTCAGGGCATGGGATGGCCTGGTTGTGATGTTCAGGAACAAATGGAGGGCTGCAAGTAAAGGTCTGAAGCCCAGATTAGGAGGGGAAACAGAAGGTCAACGAGTTTTGATGCATTTACTGTCAGAAATTCTACTAATCAATAAGTGGAGGTTTAACAAAAGTCTTTTCCTTCAGCTACTTTCATAAAGGAGTAAGTTTTTATTATCAGTGTGGTGTGTCATTAGTGATAAGGGTTAGCTTTAGTTATTACACTTGTGAAAAGATGGTGCATCAGTAAAGCAAGCAAGTGGGTAAAAACTTCATTTCCAGGTTCAGGTCTGTTGCAGCCAGCTCTGTAATCCCTGCAGTTTTGATCTTGAAGTCTAACAGTGAAACAGCTGTCCAGATTCATGCGCAGGTCTCAGACTGTGTAGTTAGATAAAAGATCAGAGTAACAAGGCAGGCAAAACTGATGGCATCCTGGCTTGCAAGTGAAACCACAAACTGTTTAGGGACTTCTGATCTTCTCCTTCATGTCTGGGGACATTCTCTCCCAGTTGGGTTTTATGTGCACTGCTGGAAAACTACAGAGGACTTCTGTCCATGCTCTAGATCTTCTGGGTTTTTTTTGTTTGTTTGTTTGGGTTTTTTTTGCTTTCCAAGGAAGACTGCAGTGCTTTAGCCATCAGGAACATTAAGTTCTTTGTAATAAAACCCTTGTATCTGTAATATTCCTCACTGATTTGTTTATGTCTCTTGATAAACAGAGAAGCACCCATTCCCAAGATGCTGGCACCCTGCCTTCTGAGAAGAGTGATCCTTACAGTTCCTTTAGTTTTTGTGGTTGCACTGCTTCTCACGGAGCCTGTTAGATCTGATCAAGAAGCGGGAACAGCCATACCAGCTGAAAGTACGTACCACCCTACAGTCCTCTCATACAGCTTGTACTGTAGTTTTAATGTTGCAGGACTTCATATTACTGAAGCTTGTCCAAATAATTTAAACTATTTTGGACATGTCTTGCTTATGATTTTTTAAAATCACAACCTGATAGCATACCAGTGCTGGTTTTCTCTTGCATCCAAGGATCTCCACTTTCTTACCCTTATCTCCTGCCTGTTGCTGTCTTGCTTATACCTGAAATCTGCCACTGTTCTGTACCTTTTCTTTTGTACATCCCCTTCATTGTGTTAGCCCTTTCAATGCCAGGAATCACCCTGTTTGCCTTTCAGAGACATTTTTGAGACTTGTTTTTTTTCTACTGACATTTTCTGTTCATTACATCTTTCATTCTTGGTAATGTCTGCTATATTAAAGTCAGTAGTTTTTATTAAAAGGGATCACAATGAAAATGCCAAGAAAGCACACTTTGTCAACACTTAGTCCTGCAGCCTTCAACCACCTAATTCTCTTTTGCTGATCTGTGTTGAGTTTAATTTACATCATAAACATAATGGCAGGTCCTGGCATCAAGTTGTTGATGTGGAAAATGCTGTCCTCTCCTTACGTCTGGTGCATATATAATAACACTAAGGTTGGGTGTTGGTACAAGAATGAAAGAGGAGTTCTGTAATACTATTCGATGCTTATTTTTTATCTCTTCTTTTCTTTTCTTTTCTTTTCTTTTCTTTTCTTTTCTTTTCTTCCTAGCCAGTTAAAGAATTTGGCAGACTCCTTTTATCCAGCAGGCAGGATTCCTGTCTGCTGGTTACGACAGAGATCATGAGCTGGAAGCTTATACTGCAGCTTATCAGAGGCATGTAGTAATCAGTCAAATATCAAGTGTTTGCAAAATAGGCTGACAGACACTGCAGGATTTTCCAATATCACGCTAGGTTTCATCCTTTCTTCCTTACCAGATCTCAGAAAGCAAACTAAACCTGCACTCAGATTTTCTCAGTTGTGCTTTATTTCCTATGAATTTGTCAGAGAGGCTCAGGCACTGAGGAGCAAATAAGAGCATATGTAGATCCTTGATTTGAAGACATTTCATCATGTCTATATTTGTTCTGTCTCAGTACTGCTATCTCAGAATCACAGAATCATCAGGGTTGGAAGGGACCTCTGGAGATCATCTAGTCCAACCCCCCCGCCAGAGCAGGGTCACCTACAGCAGGTCGCACAGGACAGTGTCCAGGCAGGTTTTGAATGTCTCCAGAGTGGGAGACTCCACAAGATCTCTGGGCAGCCTGTGCCAGTGCTCCACTACCCTCAAAGTAAAGAAGTTCCTCCTCTTCCTCTGTTAGGGCACAGCTTTGTGTTATATGATGATCAAGGCAAAGCAGGCCTTGTGACCTTCAGTCTAGATATCTAGATATAGGAATACTATCTTAAACACTGCAATTAGTCCAGAATGCAGCAGTTCTGCTTATCAGCAATGCCCACTAATGACAGGGCATTGTGTTTATCCTGCTTGCTTCATTCGCTTGGGACAAAGCTGTATCATATTCAAAGTTTGAGACTAAGTGATCTTTCTTTGTAGTCAATTTTATTCCATTAGCTTTCTATTTAGAGCTCAAGTTTGTGAGATTAGGAGACAAGATTTTACAGGGAACAGGTTCATGGTTTCAGAGGTAATTTCTGAAAAATCTGAAGATGAGGTTGAAAATGTGCTCAGGGTTGGTGGAGCAAAATGAAAGACTCGGGTTATGGGTTTAGTGTTTCCACGCTATGAACCGTGACAAGAGAAGGATGAGAGGAACAGCAATAAAGGAGGAAGAAAATTTTTAATATGACTTTGTTGAAGTAATTTTTTTTGTCATTGGACCGTCATGATGGACCATTTACAATAACCTAGATTGTTCAAGAGTAGATACATCAGTACTCACTGTGTGGACTCCTTTCTGTAGCTCTTCCTCATGCTCAAAATCACTGTTTATTCCTTCCACTTAATATTTCATGCCATATAGTCAAGATTCTCTACTAAATGCTCTCATAAATGCTCTCCTAGGTCGTCCCTGTGTTGATTGCCATGCGTTTGAGTTCATGCAGAGGGCTCTTCAGGATTTAAAGAAGACAGCATATAATCTAGACATGCGCGTAAGGAAACATTTAATTATTTTTTTATTATTATTAATATGGAAAAAATGCTGTGTATAAAAGTTGGTAAGGTGGATGGATTTTGCACAAGACAGTCAACTGTACTGTCCTGTCCTCCAAGGTGAGGCCAGGTAATTGCATTTCACCTCTCTATGCAATAATCTGTGAAATTCTTCTGCCTTGGGGTATCAGGGACA